GGGGGGTGGAGGAAGCAGCTTTTAATCTGCAGCCTGGAGCCAGGAATGAGCCTTAACAAGCAAAGTGTGGCGAAGGGAAAGAACCTAAGAGGCCCTGACCGAGGAGGAAGTGGGTAGCCGAGAAGCTTTCAGTATAGGCACCCCAATGTGCATTGCTTTTTATCCTTTACAAGGCCTATTTCTATGTATGGCATCTTAGAATCAGGGGACTGTCAGAGCAGAGGACCCTACGTGGAGCAGGCAGCAGCATGGCACACCTTCCCCGTGCCATCACCGGGACAAAACACCTGACACCCACAACTTCAAGGAGGGAAAGTTTACTTTGGTGCACAGTGTTTAAGAGGATTCAGTTCATAGTTGGCTGACTCCAGAGAAGAAGGGCATGGTACAAGGGCGTGGTGGAGGAAGCTACTCCCCCGTGCAGCCAGGAAGCAGAGAGAAGGGAGCGGCTGGGGCCACGAGCACACTCTGTCCCATCAGGTGTGGCGAGCCACGCCCATCATCCCAGACCCAGGAGGCTGAGGCCCGAGGAGGACTGTGATGAGTTTGGGGCCAGCCTGGTCTACATAACCAGCTCCTGTCTCAAAAAGCAAACAAACAAACACCCCGAAAACCCCTTCCAGGTCACACCCCAACTCCTAGCAGCACATCCAGCCACGGAACTCATTAGTGGGTGAATCCGTCCAGAAGCATAGAGCCTCCAGGGTCCCACTACCTTCCACACACGGGAGACTTTTAGAGCCACTTTAGATCCAAACCACAACACACAGTATCTTGGAATTTCTGAAACCAGAGACAATGAATATATCCTGAAAGCTTTGGGAGCAAACCAGGTCATATCAAAAGATCTGCATCAGAGTTAAACAACATTGGAAGTCAAAAGAAAGTGAAGGAATGCCTTCAAAATCCTGAGGGAAAATGATTTTCAGCCCAGAACTCTTATCCCCAGACAAATGAATACCAAGTAAAGAATGGAACTGAGATGTTTTCAGAGCTACAAGGACTGCAGAAATTATCTCCCTTTCCTGGGGAAAACTACTGGAGAACATTTTTCAGCAACATGAGAGATTAAGCAAAAAAAAAAAAAAATAGGAAGTCTTAGGTTTATGAGAAAGGGGGACATGGCAGAGGAAAATGGTATAGGGAAGTCGTTGGATCCAAGTTGCCCGGCAGGCCTGGACCAGAGCAACCAGTCCCAGACGAAGCTGGGCAGCAGAGAGCACAGTGAGGAACACCTCTCCACAGTGCCATGCAACTGGTAGAAATAGCAAACATTTAGAAAATGATCATAGGCACTTAAGATAGTCGATAAAACACATAGTGGTAAAATGAATGATAAACAGAAGAAAAGCTCAGCAAATACAAATACAAAGGGATTTTTTTTCCTAGGGAAAAATAGCATAAAAAAGGGAACATAATAGCATACTTTTAATACATGAGGGACAATACATAGAATATTGTAACAATATAGTTATCATCTAATTGCTCAAAAGTATGAAATAGGCAGGTAAGGAGAGTTAGTGTACAAAGTCCAAAGCACCATGCATTAAAGGAAGTTGATAGGTAACATCTAAAATTAACTAAAAGGCAGTAATTGCAATTTGCCAATGAGAGATGGACTCTTAAGAGTTGGAAGCAATTCCCTCTAGGAAGTGAGGGAAGAAGTTGGAAGAAGTGGGCTGGGCTTCCTTTTTTTTTTTCCTTTTTTTGAAAGAATCTTTAACACTATATAACTATATATAACACTATATAAGCTTTTTAAAAAAACCTTATTCGTATATGACTTTTGTTATGAAACCAAAAGTCAATTAGAAAGAGAAGCAATAAGCCGACCTGAGCCTATTTCTCTCTGCTTATTTCTCCCAGTGCCCACCTCAGCAAGTGCTGGAGGTGCAGCAGAAGGTGCAGCCACTGTGGGAGGAGCAGGGGAAAACCTAGGGAAGGAGTCTGTCCCACTCCTTGGGTCAGAGTCTGAATCTCTAAGCTCCATCTGGCTCTACCTGTCTAGAAGGTCTCAGCCATGCTGTTCCCTGCAGAGTGCTGCAGGATGGTATGAAAGCATGGAGTCATTCTACAGATGAGTGGGATGTCAGGATGGAGTGACAGATGACTGCTCAGCTCTGATCACTCAGTATATTGCATCTGAAGTTTGAGCCCGACTGAAGACACATCTTTCTGCAAAAGGAAACTGACTCCATGAATACCACCTGAGACGGTGCCTAGGTTGTTTAATTACCAAATAAATCGAGTAGGTCTGCTGAAAGACAGCTGTCTTTGCTAATCACCAGGCTGATGTTTATTCCTTGGTGAGCAGTTTCCATTTTTACTACAGCCGAGACAGGTGCAAAGAGAGCTGCAGAGCTGGGTGGCAGGGAGGCGGCCAATGTACTGCCTTGATGCCTTGTCCCCAGATTCGAGGGACACTCACTTCAGTCCTTGGCTTAGTGTCCTTTCGTCTAGAGGTCAAAGGCATCCATCTGGGACCTCGTGGTCGGAATTCTCCCAAGATCCCACTAGTGGGAAGAAATTACCTTAATAAAACGTAATGTTATAACATCTCACAAAGTCATATGATGGGTTGTCTTCTCTTGTCACAGAAGACAATGAAAATAATATGGGGTACTGTGTTGAGGGGAGCAAGGATAGATACTGAAAAACCCAAATGTCATCGAGATTTTAAGTACTGCTCCCCTACATGATCCCAGCATTATAAAAACGAGGAACAATGAGTGGAGGGGGGAAAACAGCAGACAAAACCGGAGTCTCAAAGCCCCCTCTCTGTGCCAAGAAGTAGTTTGAAAGTAGTGTCCATCAGGAACCATATGTTTTCTACATGTGTAAGAATACTCTTACACAGGGGGCTTACTTCATAACTGAGATTCTTTTTCATTTAATTCAGTCATATTAGATTATGGGGCTGATTATGATCATATCCACAAATCAGTATTTTAACAGAGTTTCCATGGAAACACTATATGCCCTGTTTTTTAACTTTTTGGACAAGGCCTTGCCTGTTTAACAACTTGAACAAGTTTGACGAGGACAACATGTTTTGTTTAAGTTACATTAACTGGGGCCAATATTTCCTAATTACATTACCAGGAGAAACATTCACGGCATTACTCGTACCATGGAAAACCTCTCCTAGATCAGCATTCAATTTGCTTTAATCACTGGAGAACAGGAAACGTACGAGGATTGCCTGGTCTTATCAAGTTTTAAATGTGTTAACTGGTTTTACATCTATGAAATAATCTCTTATTAAATGACAAAGTTAGTCTTGTTAAGAGGATCGGCATTTATGGCTGTATCGATTTATTTCTTAAAATGCAAACATACAGGTACCTCTGGCTCCTGCTGAAGAGGTAAAATCACTCCGCATAAACATATGCCCTTTTTTTGCATATGGGTTCCAGAAAAATTCCACCAAAAGAAAGCCCTCCTCCACTTAAAAAACTGGCTCACGAATATCGAGCACAGGAATGAGGGCAAAAAGTGCGGTCCAGGGAAGTAGGACTTCTCGCAAAGCAATCTTTCTGTTTGTTTTGAGTCTTTCTTTCTAAGCATCCCCACTCACACAAACACAGACATTTATTTCCATTCATTAACATTTTGAGAACTGCCTTAAGCAGAGTTTTGAAAATGCTGCATTATATAAAGCCACAGGGGAAGGGACTTAGGGACAGATGTCAGAGTTCACCCTGACAGCATATAAAACATATGGCCCGAAGCTCTGTGAGATGTCTGGGTCTGAAATGCTGGTGGAGCTTAATAAAATATCAGCAAGGAACAGTTTAATTTTACAGCATTAGGCACTGAGGCAGTAATTTGAGTGGGGTGAGCTGTATTTTAATACATCAAAGTATACTATACTACAGGGAAGAGGAATATATTTTTTAAAGACATACATTTTCTATTCAGAATTACTTGACTCAAAAACTTTCCTTTGCGAAGGAAGATAAGTGGGAAACAGTCACTATCTCCCCAGAGCTACTTGTCTTACTTTTGAAATCATGAACACATCTCAAAAGTTATCTCCTCTATTTCTAGTCCACACCTTTCACCGGGCTGGGGTGGGAAATGGAGACTGAAAGCTACAGGGTTGGAGTGTGGTTCCTTCCTGGCCACAGAAGTGGGATGGCTGTAGGGCCCGCTCCTTCCTTCCTAGCTTCTGTCTCTCTTTTTTTGTTTTGTTTTTTTGTTTGGTACCGGGGATCGAACTCAGGTCCTTGCGCTTGCTCAGCAGGAGGTGGAAACACTGAGCTAAATCCCTGGCCCTGTCTCTCTTTTTGAGACGCTCGTCTGCTCACATCTGAGTGCTGACCTTTCCACTGCATGCAGACCTCAAATTCCTCAATGTGAAGGGAGCAGCTACTCCATTTCCTCTGGCTTTCAGGGCATGCTCTGTTGAAGTCTAGATGCTCCAAAACAAATGTGCCTATGGGGATTTGTTCCTGTGGCTGTGCAAACAGTCTACAGAATGCCTTGCTTCTCCTGCTACTGTGCTACAGACCAAAGGGGCATTTCTCCTTCCTGCCCAGCAATGAAGACAGGGTGGGCCTCCGGGGATGGGTTCTAAGCAGGAGAGCAGCCATGACAAATGTGTCCTCGATCTGACCAATAGCACCATTTTAGGGGGGTGGCCCAGACTACTGCTAACATTCGGCACTAAATGCCCTGCTCTCTTCCTCTTGACCCCAGAATGCTGTCCTCAAACTGTGGCCACCCAGAGACAGCAGTCCTCTTCTTCTCCTTTGTCCTCAGTCCCAGAGTCAGAAGAAGCTGGAAAGGGTGGACATCCTCTTGCAGAGGGCTGGGGGATTATTTCAACCAACTCTGCTTCATCTGCATCACAGTTCCCTTTTAAGGCCCTTTTTTTGCTTTTCTCCAGATGCAAAGGGAAGGGACTGGGAAAAGTGAGATAAAAGAATATAGTGTTCAAAGCCTTTGAAATCAGGCAGAATTTGAATCTGAATTTAATTCCCAGCTTTCCTGTCTAGAAAACGGAGATCTCGGGCAATGCAGTGAGCCCTGTTGGGTCTCGCTTTTCTTCAGCATGACGCAGAAGATAACAGTTGGTCCCTGGCATGGTTGAGGAGTGACACTGGGGATTCCAGGTAAAGCTCCCTGCATCTGAGACCCTCTCAGTGAACTATGACTCTTCGATGTTGTGACTCAACCCTGAGAATTTAGGGACTCGGTTATGCCAGCCATAGCACACTGAAATTCTGACAGAGGAAGAACTAAACAAGGGATAAGCTGCTGGTAACAGTGCCTCATCACCCCCAGTGAGGCTCACTCCTTTCATCCTGGTACCCAGTTCCCTGTCTAATATTTGTTCCCCCTTTGGACTGTCTTCCTTTCTTTTGGGTTCTTCACTTCTTAGGCCAATGGACAGGTGCTGGAGGGCTTCCGTAAGACAGCACACACGAACCTAGGGCTGACCACAGCCCACAGCAAACCCCTAGCTGAAAACCATGGAATGCCTAGGCCATCACCAGGCTTTTCTGGAATTGTATTTCTAATGCAAGCCATGGATTTCCAGTGCAAATGCACAAACCACAGCTTAACTTCTGTTTCAATATGTCCTCAAATTTTGTCTCTCATTTGAAGGCCATTTTTAAAAATGAAGGATTAACTTATTTCTTTCCACTGTAGAAAAATCATCATGTTCATGAGGAAAGGACACCAAACTTACAGTAAGATGTAGAAATTTCAGTGTTGATGAAAATAAGCTCAGTCAGTTGGTTCCTAGGGCTTAAGTGGAATGCTCCCCTCAGTAATGTGCCGCTTGCCTTCATATTACAGACTCTGGGGGAACTTGGGCTAGTCAAATCTGCAGATGCTAAGGACTGAATTCAGGAACGGCTGTTAGACTTGTATTAGCTTGGTTCCAGCAGCTGTGTCATGTTGTCTGCCTCAAGCTGCTGGCCTGGAGAGGATTCTGAGGCCATGGCTGGCTGCTGAACGAGGCCTGGATGGACCCACAAAGCAGGTGATTGTGCAACACTAACTCTGTTTGCCAGCCCCGCTTTTCTGTGCATCGCATCCACGTCACCCATACAAGGGCTCACGGAAGGGAAAGTTCTGTCCATCATGGCAGCCTCAGGGCCCAGCAGGGATGGTTCTTGGCCATCTTGGATGCTGGTACTCAAGTGCCAATAAGGGCAGCTCCTCCAATCTGCTGCCCACAACTAAAAACTGCAGGTAAAAGCATGATAAACATCCACTGAGATTTTGTAAGGGTTGCGAAATCACCATCTTCTCTACTTCTTCCGAGAAGACTCTAGAAGATCGCAAGGGGTATCGCCCTAGTTATGGAGCTGCCAAATACACCACCAAAGTGATGGCTTCTCCCAAAGTCCCCTACAGGGCTGTAATCCTGACCCAAGCACCAGGCAGCAGCATTCATGCAAAAGTGTGTGCAAGAGGCAAAGCTCTGTAGCATTAGTGATAAAGTAGAAGGGGGTGCGGCAGACAGTGGACAACTTGAATCCAGCTTCCTGTCCTTTTCTCACCATCTGCTTGCCCAAGCATTGCCCTCACTCTGTGCCGTGACCGTGCTGGCATTCCAGTAGCTGCCCTGCACTGTACCTACTCTCCGGCCTCTCGATCTACCCTGTCTTTTACCTGGAGGGGCCCTTGTCCCTTCTTCCTGAAATAAATTCTAACTCTACTGCAGATTCCAACCAGGCTTTAACATCTGTAGGGAGGCTTGCCCCACCCTCCCAAGGCAAATTCCCTGACCCTATTTTTAGTGCCCACATACCTCCTCCTCCTGCCATATTTCTTGCATTTGTACAGAGGTGAAAGGAGTATCTGCCTCCATTCCACACTCTAGTGGCCCCCTGGACTGTAGGTCCTTTGACTTTGCTATATCTTGTTCTGAAGTCCATATGTCCCCAAACACAGAGTCTAGTAGGTCTAGTACTCAAGATGCTTCTTTAACAAGGAAGTAACATACAACAAAGGGTTCAGAACGAACGCTCCTTTGTTACACTTGGTTTTCACATAAGATTGTTTTTGCCTGAGGAGACATATGAAGCATGACTAAGTAAAGACACACCAATCTCTAAGAAGTAAATGCCTAGACTGCTCATGCTTAGGAATAGCTCAGAAGATCTAACCATCTGAGATCTTCACCACACAGTCCAGCACACAGGCTGCATTTCAAACACCTTCATGTTAGGAGCAATTAGAAGCCATGAATGAAGACTTATAAACATGAGCCAAGCCGTAGCAGTCAGAGTTACGTGAGTTTATTTTCTCCTTTGCTCTCATTAGAATCCCAATTGAAATGTTGACAATACATGAAGAAGCCTGCTTGTTGAACACAAGTGTTTCCCCTCCTATCAACCTCCAAACTCTGATAGTCCTGCTTCAGGATGAAAGCCAAATGCCCCTGAGGAGATGATTACATGCTTCTTCTAATTATGCAGGGATGTGGAAATGGGCCTCCTACCAACAGTGGATGCCTAGAGAGAGTGCAGGGAAACCTTAACAGGTCACAGCACAGCACAGAGCGGGGGACCAATATGGGATTCTTGAATTAAATAAACGGATAAACACATTACTGATGCATCAGAATGGGAAGCTGCCTATTATAAACCTGGAGGGAAGCCGGAATAAAGTTAAGGCTGTATCTTAATTTTGCTAACAAATGTCCTAAATGAAGGTTTTAGTTCCAAGACACCAACAATAAATTTCCCTTCGTTTATGGAGCTGTTCTGATGACATACAGAGCTTGTATGTAGAGCGTTAATTAACTGAACTTGCAACTGATTCCAGGCAAACACACATACACAAATGCTTTATATTCTGAAAAGACAGTGAACTCTGTCTATAGCCAAAATGCTCCTTTACACTGAGCTAGCTTTTTTTTGTTCCATGCAGATTAGTGCAAGTAGACACAGCCTTGGTGCCTAGCTGATACAGACACAACAATAAAGAAGACACTAGCTAATGTACATTGGTACAAGCAAAGATATGTTTGGTCAAGATTCTGACATTTAAAAAAATAATTTAACCCTTCCCACAAATCTACAAATTGGGATCCAATGACAAGCTTGAAGATCAGAGAAGTTAAATAACTCATTTAGGATCACACGGCCAGTAAATGTTGGAAGCAGCATTTGGGCCTAGATGGTTTCACTCCAGATTCTAGGGTTTTCAACAGAGACACTGTTTTGAAATGAAATAGACAGATGAAGCTGGAATAAAAAGGGGGCCCATAAAGTTCAGGATGTATGGTTGGTGGGTTACAATGAAAGTCCTCCTTGAGAAAATTGTGTTCTCCAAAACACAGGCAAGTATGTGTATCAAAGGGTGAATATACAGTAAATTTTAAAGAGAATAAAAGCAAGACAGCTTCATTATTACATCTCAAAATATGAAACACACATTGTAATCTATTACAGAAACAGGACTATCATGTTATAATAAAAGTACAAAAGCCAATAAAAATTCACGAAGAACTACATAAACACTCATTTTATGTGTAACATGAGTAAACAATCACATATGAACATGAATTTGATTTCACTTTATATCCATGGGGCAGACACAAAAGTAGCCAATCAAAAGATCTAAGTAAAACAATGTGTCAGCATGAGGCCTTGGCCAGCCTCAAGCTGCCATGTTTCTTGATCCTTTGGTTTCTTTCATGAGCTTTATGCCTACCAGGATCTGTCTATGTTTACTTCACCAGCCTCATGAGCTCACTAATTACCTTTAATCATACTTATCTGAAACCCATCTTTATCTTCGAATACATCTTATGTACAGGAAAAGTGCTGCAAGACTGGCTGGGAAGACACTGAATTGGAACGTGCAGGGAGGATGGACCCAGTACTGCGTGCCCCCAGCCCCACAAATGCATCTAGTTTGGCCTCTACTACCGCACAAAATTGGGACTTGGAGAGCTGGTTCCCTTGAGAGTTGGAAAGTGTGAGAGAAGTCATCAAAATCTCTCACGGGTGGCAAGTTTCAGGTATTGAGAAAATCAACATCAACTCTGATGTAAAAAATAAAGATTGCTAACTAGCACCCTAAAACTGGTGAACTCTTTCAAGGCCAAGAGTCAGTGTGCTTGCTTTCCTACTTCTGCTGAAAGGCGGTCACAATGATTGCCTTCTTTAGCTTTAGGGGGGTCAGAGGCATGTATTCCATACCCACCCCTCCACTGATTTTATTTTAGTTCCTCTAATCCACTAACTTCTTGGACAATGTGAGGCCTTCTAAAGGGAGTTTAGGCTGAATGATTCTTGGTATTCTTTGAATCTGAATCGTGATATTATCCACAGAACTGGTGGAAACAAGAGGGTGAACATATCCTGTCCAGCTTCTCACTACAGGAAGCACATGGCAGCCTGGGGCCTCTGCTCACCAGCTCAAAACGAAACTGTCCTTGTCTTCTGGACCTGAGCCTGCAGTATTAAATTTGCAGCTTGCTGTCAAAACCAGGAATGGTATTTTTTAAAACCAGAAGGCATGAAATGAAGAAAACTACAAGTTATTTAACTATTGAACCAGTAAGGATACTTTCAATGACTTAACTTCTCTGTGCCTTAGTTTTGTCATTTATAAGGAAAACAATGGCAACACCCTTTTATATTCGTTCATTCCACATTTATATAATGAACTTACTGTGTAGGTTTTATAGGATCTATGGGGAGAAGTACAAGGTCACCTGAATTATAGTAGAGTGAGTTGCTATCTTTAAGTGAGATAATGCAAATAAAATCTGGGAGTAGAAACTGCTAATGATCGTCAGTAGCCAGCCATGTCTCTTCTTTCCAGGAACACAGCTACACCACATTTCTCAGACTCCTTTGCTGCTAGATACGGTCATGTGATTTCATCCTGGCCAATGAAATATGAGCAGAAGTATAAGTATCTTTTCCAGGGCTGGCCCATGCCTCATCTTCATTTTCTTCCCCCATCAGCTAAATGATGGGGAGGACTTGGAGTCAAGAGAAAAGTCCAGTCACCAGAGAGAAGCAGCCTCAGTCTCTGAAAGACTGTATGGAGCCCACTGCCTTGTCAACCAGAACTAGGCTATAATAAGAGCAATAAATATACTATTGCTGTATTAAGTCACCGAAGTTTGAGGGTTTATTGTTACAACATGGCTTTAATGTACGTTCATGGCAATTTCTGCTCCACTGACTATACTAAATGATTGGTAGGATTTCTTTAAAAATATGTTCCCAACTTTTTTGCTTTGTGTTACAGAGTAAGTCCAGATAAAGCAGAGTGAAGGAGAGAAGGAAGGAAGGAAGGAAGGAAGAAAAAAAGAAAGAAAGAAAAAAGCAAGCTATATGAAAGTTTTTTAAAGTAGCTCAGTATAAACTTTATACCTAAATGCCACTTGATCATCCACAATACCCAGAGAAATATTTTCACTACTGTCCACATGCCTCCAAATGCTACACTGTCTCCCTAGGCAAATGAAATTTCTGCACTGCTCTGTGGTGCTAACAGGCTTCACCTGCTCTGCCGGGCTGCAGCTGTCATGGTCCCAGCTGCCCCAGCCCCTTCCCCGGTATCAGGTCACCCCAGGACGTGCTCTGGATGGGCTGCTGCTGACAGAGATAGAAGAGCGCTTTGCCATGATTTTACCCAAGCAGATGGTAGAACTGGAAGAAGCACTCACATTCGCGATAAGGTCTTGTCACACATGCAGACAGATGTTACCTTCGGGACTAATCTCCGAGAGAAAGGAGACCATCTCTAGGTACGCTACATGTGCACATATGACTCAGGCTGTCACCACAGGACATCCACCTCAATACTCCGTAAAAGAAAGTGTCCCGCTTGCTACTTCAAAAGTCAGCTCTTCTCCTTTGTAGATTTTGAATTCCAGACATAACGCATGTTTGTGGCAGTAAGTTAAAGACATGCAGAGGTATAAACAGAAAAGGTTAATTTTCCTTTCTCCCTCCCACTCTTGCCAAATAATCAGTTTGCTGACTGCCCTTCCCACCTAGTCCATCTTCAGAAAAACTAACAACACACACTGGAAGGCTAATTTCTCCAACTGTAATGAGTTTTTGCACCATACATACGACTATACAGTACGCTTTGAGCTGAAATCACTTGATTTTACCTAACAATTTATTATGAATCTCCTCCCCCATGGTTATATTTAGTACTAACCTATTGTTTTTCAAGCAGATGTGTAATAGTGCCTGGAAGAAAGGGCTAGACTTCAAGACATCACCTACTATAAGGGTTAATGGTGGCTGATTTTTTTTTAAAGAAAGTGAAATTTTAACTAGATTGATTTATATTAGGAAATAGTCTGACTTAAAATGTTCAAAAGAGTGTAGCTTGGAAGTAGGAAATCCTCAAAACCTCCCTGTGATGATAGCGTAATAATACTCGGGGTGGGGGTGAATCATCTCAAGTTCGTTCCCACATGAGAAACCAGCGTCCTACTAAATCTTGGTGCCATGAGCCTGACACACGTAGGCCTCCCCTTTAGGGAGTAGGGCTGGCCTGAGCTGACACTCAGAATTTCTCTTCCATTACTCTTTGCACACACAGTTTTCATGCCAACTCTTGGATCTGGCTCGCGGAGGGAAGGAAGGACAGAGCTGCAGGCATTAGCATGCAGGTCAAGCGGGCTCTCTTTGTTCTCTTGGCTGAGGTCAGATGGAACAGATCACTCAGCCTCCGCATCCATCCAAAGTCCTTCCGTGTCCTGGAGCCTTCTAGTCCATGTGTGTGCTGCCCATCTTTTAACTGCCTGTTAGAATCAGCAGGGACAAAGAGAACCAAAGAGCCCTTTGGGCCAGCAAGCAGCTGCTCCCAGGAACCCATCCACTGTGGGTGTTCCCAGGGTATTTGTATCAGTTCAGATTCTTTGAGGTCTAGGAAAACACACTGCTGAGAGGAGATACCATTTTTGATCTACCAGACCTGTGCTATGCACTTAACAAATAGCGCGTTATGCTCACGGTCCTCTAGGAAGTAGGTATTACTATATTCTACAGACGGGCAGCTGAACTAGGAGAGCCTGTGATTTGCCCAAGACCACCTGGCATGAGGACAAATGCAGCACAAAAGTGCACTTCCTCATTCAGCCACACATCCCATCCACAAAAGACAGTGTTTTTGATCCCTGCAGTTCCCTGCAGGTGTCCTGGACTCCTACGCCCAATCATGTTGTCAATGGATTTATATTTTTTCAGGCCTCTGAGTCCAAGAGACTTGTACCCTCACTGGGTCCTGAAAGACACAGTTACAATGCTACACTAGAACCCGAAGAGACATTCACTCAAATTCTGTCCCCAGGTTGGTGAGTATGGTGCCTTTCAAACCTACTCATGCTTTCCAGCCAGACGGACAGGTTTTAGATATAAGTGGGCCCTAAAGATCATGCTATGCAACCCTCTCACTTTAGAGGCAAGGAAACAGGATCGTGCTAGGTCTGGCTGGGGAGTAGGAGCTGGGTGGAGGTGGGTGAGAGGCGGCGTAGGGCGGTGCTGAAGGAGTGGCTAGAGGCTGGGACAGAGCAGGCTTCTTAAGCCACAGCCCATGGCCAGTGCAGCCCTCTAGCTTCTTTGTAAATGAGCTGTATTTGAACACAAGCACACACATTCACACATTATCTTTGTTTAACACTACAACAGCAGAGCTGCTTGGCCTTTCTCTCTCTTTCTCTCTCTCTCACACACACACGCACACACACACACGCAATGTTTTCTGACTCCTGGGAAAGAGATGCATATATGTATATAGGTAACATCCTAGTGCAGAGGAACCATTAAGTTCACCGGCGTTTGCTGTGTTAGGATGAATAAAAGGTATGCAATGTTTAACAACCTCCCTGGTTAACAACCGTTCAGACTTAGGACCTGCCACTTGGGTTTGCAACCCGCATTCAGACTTGGCAATGCAGAAATGTGAGGGGCAGTGCAGATTTATAGTAGCTTCCTCTACAGTCTAGAACTGTGATTTCTGCTGACTGCACTGTCCAGTACAGTACTATAGTTTTGTTCTGTTACTGCATGTAAGAAAGAGTTATGCAAATAAAAGCAGTCATCAAGTTGGAGTTTCCTTTGACCATTTCTTTGTTCTAAATATTGTAATGCACATTCTGTATACAATTCCTCATTTCATGATGAATTCATCTAATGACTCAGTCCCAGGAAAGGAATGAACTCCTTTGTTAAATGAAGAAAGTCTGCAACTATGTTTCAGGTGGGCCACTGAATGTCATGTACGATAAAGAAATGTTATTATGAAATTGTGTGCACCTGAAAACAGCTACATAGGAAGAAAGGCAAGGAGAGAGGACGGAAAGAAGGAATTATCTTTAGTAAAGTTTAAGTGGCTTTTCAACACCTGACCTACTTTGTTACCTGCCTCTGACTTTTCCCTACCCTATCTGTGATACTCAAAAAGTGCTGGGGAGAGAGGGCCAACAGATGGCAGGCTGGGTCAGCAGGCTTTCAGGAGGAAGCAGGACAAATACTGGGTTCTGTGTGGCGGGGAGGGGCTTGGCAAAAGGAGAAAGGGGTCCCGAAGCACATGCTGTTGAGAATAGTCAACACCTGGTCCTTCCTTTTCACAAGAGGGCTCCCGATGCCCACATCTCAAGTCACCGCACCCTTCCAACGCGCACAGAGTAGAAGTCCCGGAAGGTACTCTCGTGGCTAGTCTGAGCATGCATTGGGAGACTCAGAGCCTGAGTACTGGGGGTAGAATACTTGCCTTGCAGCACAAGGCCCTGGGTTCAGTCCCCAGTGCTGGGGAAAAATCAAACAAAATCACTCTAGGCTACTACAAGTATTGTTTTATTTAATCCTGGGCACAGTCTTGTGACATAAGGAGTACTGTTACCCCCAGGTTAGAGATGAGGTTCCCAGTGGACAAGTCAAGTCCAGAGGCAGCTTATTGCAAAGCCCAGACTCGCCTGCTCAGTGACACTGCCTGGGGCTGGGGGTTCCCTTCAGGCTCTCAGTGGAAGTGCGGCTTTTGCCTTTCATGCAGTCCCTAGGGCATGTGGGGTACTGTAGAAGCGCAGCTTCAGGCCCCGAAACCCCTCCTCAGCGTATGGCAGGGGATTTGCACATTCAAAGCCCTGGCTCCCATCCCTGGTGGGAAAGTTCCCAGCAGCTTCGATTAGAGAACAGTCACAGTTCACAGATGCCTGATGCTCACAGGGGGCAGCTTTATTATTTTCCACGTGAAAAATGAGGAAAGAGCCAGAGCTTCAGTGTCGGGGAGACGATGAGAGATGGAGAAGTATTTCCAAAGTCACGCTAACCAAAAGGTCAATTCAATTGGGAGGAGGGGCAGGGAGCGAGCAGGCAGCTGAGAAGTATTTGGGGCACTGGGGAGAAGGGGTTGTGATGTCCACTAAGGAAACCATGGCTATGAATTTCAGAGCATCAAGACCCTGTCAACACAGCTAATCCCCACGGATGTTGGCTGAATAAGCCTTCGATGACCAAAGAAGTGCACTGTGGAAACCATGTCAGCCTCCAGCGGGCCAATTTGTCCTCATATTACACACTCTGCTGGCTCTGTCGCTAGCCCCCCAGATCAAGAATCTGTGCCGGGCGTCCCCTAACCTGATGAGGTTGACACAGCACGGTTAATAAGTCAACAGAATTCAGAAGCCACAACCGGATTAAGAAGGCTGTTTTATTTCGGTGCCCTGGACTTCAAGCAGATTAAATAATCAAAAAGCCCGAGCCACTGGGGTCATGTTTGAATGCTACAGCTGTTCGCCGAGGTCTGACAAACATTCTTTATGTGGCTCGCCATCCGCATGGGAAAGGCAGGGATGATCTAGGGGAGGGGCCCGACACTTTAAGAAAGAGAAGGAACACAATCAGATGATCTCTTCTGGAAAGCCATCCCGGCCAGATGGAGGCAAGGGGACAGGCTGCTTAAATAAGTGAATGAAAAGCGGGGATCCTAGCTCCCCATGCTCTTGGTTTGCTGATCTGCTGATCTGTGAATTAATAAGGGTGGGATCCGTGTGCAGCCCAGGGAGACTCTGCCATGGAAGGTAAGTGCGATCAATTCTGTCAGCCTTTAGAGAAGTTCTCTGGCTGGGAGAGGGAAGGGAATCGCCTCAGAAACGTGTCAGTGGGAGATCTACTTTCAAGACATCTTTCTTTAAAATTCAGGCTGATGTGAAAAATATCTTTGGGAAGATTTATGTTTTCACCACATTGGGTGCAGAGGAAGGGGCTGGAGACAAGAGTATGCAGCCATGACGGAGATACGCAATTGGCAGGTCACGGGCCATTTCACAGGAACATGGTGCTGGGAGTCGGAGTTCATGTGCCATTCCCTTTGCAATAGGGGTAGAACCAAAGAAAGAATGAACAAACTGGCCCCAGTCTTAGAAAGATAAGCCTTTCATTACTAGATGAGTAGATTCTGTGGAAAACATGTTCTGATTTCCTGCAGCTAATTAATGCCCCAACCTCACAGCTAAGGTGAGGGATGTCAGTTCATTTCTAATGAGAAGATGCTTTGGCTTTGAAATGAATCGTTTAGATTATCCACAGAATTATAGAAAGGGAAACAAGGGTTTTACTCTTTTATATTTTGGAAAGGGAAAGGGAACTCTGATATCTGGTGTCTCTTGAACAAAATTAATCCAAGTAGCACCTCCTTCAGAAAATTCCCCCACACCTGTCCTCTGGCCCTATGACACCCACCGGAGCCCCAAGTAGAAAATTCAGGAACAAAGGAAACAGGCTCAACGGGTACTTACAGCCACACTGTGTATTTCCCATGGTAAGTTCCAAACCAAACGAGCAACCTTTCTTAGCAGCATCTTGGGAGTAGATAATTATTTTGAGTTTTGAATATCATTGTGTACCCTTCTGAATCCCATTATCAATTTAACAAAATGCCCTTGACAGATGTTTGCCATATTTTGAAATTCAATTCTCAAAATAAGAGAAGGGAGCGATGTACAACTTTGGACAACCATCCCCTCTCTGAGCCCTTTAAGGAGGCTCCTTTTGATTCCAGGACTCTCACATTCTCACGACCAGGGAGCTCTGGAGCAGAGTGCTGTTCGCAGCACTGCTTGTAATGAAGGGAAAACAAAGAACACAGCAGCTCAAATGTCCCTCAGTAAGGCAGTGAATAAATATTAACTTTGACATGGTCTCACCACAGAATACTCTACAGCAGTTAAAAGGGAGAAGTTAGTTTCCTCTGCATCCATGTCAACAGATCAGTTTCGAGTGAATAAAACAGACTACAGGATGAGACATGCTGATGATTATAGTCATGTAAATTTTCGCAAACCATTCTATAAATGTGTGTGTGAGTGTGTGTGTGTGTGTGTGTGTGTGTGTGTGTGTGTATCAGACAGTGGAACACACCAGATGACTCTCGCAGACTCTGGGAGCAGACTGGGATCGAACACATATCTACCACTTACGATGCGTGTGAGTTTGGGCAGGTGATTTTGCTTCTGCAAAATCTCCTCAGTCTCCTCATCTTTAAGATAATGTAAATGACAGAATCACATTGATGAGAGCAATGCGTGGTTCAAAACGCTAAATGGCCACTCAGGATTCTGCTTTACAGCTCCGGTTTTTAACATGCCCAGAGGGCTACAGCAGTCATGATGGGGCCGGGGAGGACTCTTAGAAAAGAGGTCACTTTGGCCTAATCAAAGCGAACTTTTCTGCATCACTAATACATTACTTCTTTTTACTGAAAACAAAAGAAGATGAAGAATGTATGAGAACTGTGGATGACTGGCACGATTGTTATAGGAACGTGGACTTTTTTTCCCATACTGGGGCTCAAACCTAGGGCCTTCATCCTGGGCTACATCTGCAACCTTTTTTAACATTCTGAGACAGGGTCTCACTAAGTTACCCAGGTTGGACATAAACTTGCGATCCTCCCCCCTCAACCTCCCAGAGTTCTGGGCTTATGGGTGTGCACTACCACACCCAGACTGGATATTTATTATATTATACTTAATGCTTTTCTGTTCTGTAAAAGTATCCTGAATAAAAAAGGAGCAGAGGCAATCATTCTTCATGGGATTACACCTGCAAAGAGGAACATCAACTTGTCGGAATGCTTTAGACCTGTCCTAGCCAATACAGTAGCCACTAACCACGTGTGGTAATTTCAATTGAAATTAAATACAAGCAAACACTCAGTTTCTTGGTTGCAGTGGTCACATTTCAGGGGCTCAGTATCCACATGTGGCTATTGACTCCTATACTGGACAGCAGATGTAGAACATTCCTAGCATCACAAAACATTCCAGCGCACAGTGCTCCTCTGAGCACTCTGCACAGAAATGCGAACATCTGCAATCCAATCCTCTGTCACTCTTCTCCATGCCTGCCCCCACATATTTAAGCTGTGCCCTACCAAGGGCAGGTGTTCCTGAGAGATTTTTTTGAAAGGTCTGTTTAAAAATCCTTAAGTCTGCTCTTTGATTAGCGAGGCCCTGAGGAAGTACCTTCTCTGTCTTAGTTACTTTTCTCGCTGCTGAGACAAAATACCCAATACTCAAAGTTAAAGGAGGAAATGTTTATTTAGCTCACAGTTCGTAGAGGTTTCAGTCCATAATTGGCTGCTCCAAGGCAGGGTGGCATGGCAGAGGGGCAACCATTAATGGTGGCAGAAGACAGCGAAAGCAATAAAGGACAACCACAGATCTTTCTGTCCGTTATATCTTATGCCGACTACTTAGGGCGGGCAGGACTCACACCCTGAATCCTAGTGCCCTTGAGCCTAGCAGTGCACCATGAGTCAATTCCAGAAAAAGCCCCACCTACGACCACATGAGGCTTTGGGGGATCATCTAGACACAAGCCATAACAGATGTACTTGGTCCATCCTGCCTCTGCTGAAGGTGAGTGATACAATCTTTATTTCAGGACGGAAAAGGTTACCTGGCTCAGAATCATATTACCTGTGAATTCAAAGGAGAAGAATGCGTATCCTCCTCCTTAAACACTGGTCCCTATTCCTTGATCTTTCTGTTTGTTCTAGGTGAGCTGCTGCTGCTTTTAAGCGTGATCTTCCTGCTCCAGGGGACATGTGGGTGCCCAGAGAAGTGCTTCTGTCACTCATCTTCAAATTCTGTAGACTGCAGCCACCAAGGTCTGGCTGAAATCCCTCCTGATCTGCCTCCTGAGACGCTAACACTGCTCTTGCAAGATAACCAGATACGCCAGCTTCCTGCTCTTGCATTTAGGACAGTACCACGGCTCAAGACCTTAAATCTGTCCAACAATTCCCTTTCAGAACTGGCCCCTGAAGCCTTCCATGGACTTCAGCACTTGCAGGTTTTAAATCTAACCCACAATTCCCTGCTTTCCCTAGAAAGCAGACTTTTCCATTCTCTCCCACAGTTGCGGGAGCTTGATTTGTCGTCCAACAACATAAGCCACCTTCCCAAGTCCCTGGGTGAACCTTGGGAGAATCTAACTGTATTTGCAGTGCAACAAAACCAGCTTCAGCACCTCAGTCGTGAGCTCCTAGAATCCATGCCCAGGGTGAGGCTGTTACTGCTCCAGAACAACCTCTGGAAATGCAATCGCCACCTGCTTGGCCTTAAACTCTGGCTAGAGACATTTATCTATGAAGGTCAGTAATGTCTATTGGGAAAGCCCCATCTGTGTGTCACCAGACTAGGACGAACCTCATCTGTTCTCTGCATCAGCAGAAACACTGAGGGAAGTGCAAGCGGTAGCTTTAAGTTTTTTCACATCCATGTCACTTCAAGATATGGCAAAAGAGGCAAGTGAGTCATTACAGGGTATTTATACTCATTTACAAATATGATTCAGGCAGGAGCTTTTTACTTGTCTGATTAATACAACCTGAACTGACTTACCTGAGAAGTATACTCGTAAGAAAGAGGAACTTCAATTGCCACCGAAGTAATTGCTCAACCCTAAAGGACACTAACCTCTACTTTTCAAGTGTGATGCAGCTGGGGGCAGGGCTGTCACTCTATGGGACATTTTACCCTTTGTCTGCTTCTACCCATGTGACGGCTTTAATCTTCTCAAAGACACTTCCTTCTTTTTAGTGAATAGTATTGTTATTGAAATTGGGAACACTAGGGCTTCTCTGTGAAGTTACTCACTCTTTCTTTAACTAGATGCTTAAAGTATGAGAGTCCAGAATATTAAAGAGGCGGAGCTGTGGACATCATCGAGAGGTGAGAAAAACTGCAGCCTGAGAGGTGAATCCCGCTGAGTGGCTGCTTTGCACTGTAGGATGAGGTTGCATAATTATGACAGAAGCTGTATGGTAAAGTGTACAGTGCTTATGAGCTGGCCCTTAATAAGAAGAGTTTTGCAACCTCTGTTATCAATAGGAAACAGAGGCCCAGAGGAGTTCATTAACTTGCCCAAGGCGAAAGCACAGATGACAATAAACATGGATTTGGGGTGTTGGCCCTATATTCTTTTCCATACCCCACAATGTTTCTCTGGGCATCATTCATTCATTCATAAACTCAAGTGCCTTTTATATGCCAGGTACGATTCAAGGCATTGAGAAAAGAGCAGTGAGCAAGAAAATCCTTACCATCATGAAGGTTACACTGGAGTGGTAGAAACAGATGTTTCCTAAGATCATAAGTAAAGCTCCAAGTTCAGACAGCAGTACTGAGAAGACAATAAGGCAGGGAAGTATGCAGAAGGGTGGGAGGGAGAGATGTAGACAGAGGGTGAATACAATGGACAGGGAAAGCTTTGCCCAGGAGCTGACATGGACATGAGTAGAATCAATACAAGAGGAATGAGCCAAGACTGGATGGGCCGGGGGAGGAGAGCACGTGCTAAGGGACTGATGAAGTAGGTGGCTTGGCCCAGTGAGGCTCGAGAGAGTGTTAGAACAGCAGAAGGCAGCAAAGCGGGCACAGATAAGGCAGGTCAAGTTCCCATGGGGCCCACTGAGGTAAGAAAGCACAGCGCAGGCTATGATGTCTGGATTTTATTCTAAGTGAGATGGAAAGTCTGGTGGAGCTTCAGTCAGGGGAACAATATGATCTGATGATAGTTTGAAAGGCCACTCTGACAACTCTTGGAAGAGTAGACCAAAGGCTACAGAAATTTAAAAAAAGCAACAACAACACTGACATGGAGATGATTTCAGTTGTTCAGGGAAGAGGTGATGAGGTCCAAACCAGGGTGGTGAGAGGTGAGCAGTGTCAGGAGACATTCGGAATCCGGAACTGACAGAAATCGCTCAAGGGCTGGAGTGGGAGGTGAAGAAAACAGTGGGATTATGGGATGGGTTTTGGCCCGCAGGGGAATCCTGTACATGGTGATACGATTAGCTGATAATGGGCAGCCTGGGAAGTGGGAGCAGGGGAGGCCCTCGGTCAGAGCTCACTTCGGGCCCACAGGAGATGCCAGGTATATATACAAGGGGAGCTGCTGAGGGGGTGGTCATACATTTGATCCTGTGGCTCAGAAAGATGTGGCAGCTACAGACATGAGGTAGAGAATCGATGGTATGTGAATAGCGGCAGCAGTTCTCAGAGGGAGGGAGGTTAGAGTACAGAATGAGTTCAAATCCACAACATAGAATCATGGAGCTTCTCAACAATGTAGCGGCAAATAACATAGCACTAACCAGCCAATGTTCAAGTTCACAAGGCCAAGTTGAAGGATGACAGCAGCAGAAATAGACCGTGGGATCCTTCTGATAGGTAGCTGCCAACAAAACCAAATGTACCTGGAGGGGAAGCAGCCTGCACGCTTGCATTCTGGATTAAACTGTACACATAAGCTAGACAATAATAGATAGTCCTCACCAAAAAAGAACATTTCTTGAAAAAACTATTGCCCCGACCAAGACATTAGAAGCCATGTGGGATGGGATGAAGGGTTCCTGCTCAGCCAAAATACTTGCCGGTGGCCTCTGGGTAAATTAATATCTTTCAGTAGCACCAAGTAGTATCACCAGATTTCAAGTGTGAGTATGAAGGCTCTTTCTGGTCCTCAGACTTGGTAGTGCAGTTCCACCTCCCTTTGTGGCACAGTGCAGGAGCACAGATATCAGCCATTCTTCAGAGGAAAGTAAAATTAATTTGGACTAACAGGACCTGGATGCCCCTAAACAGCTAGGGAACCCCCCCCCACAGATGCTAAAAATGGGAGATCGATTATGAACATAGTGGCTGAAGGTTAAATAAGGGAATAGATGCTAATAAATACCTCATAATCAAATGCAAACAATACAGGTGCTGTATTAGGACAGGCTAAGTGATATGATACCCAAGACATGAGTCATACATGCATTAAAAGTTCATTGTTTACTCATGTCAGAACCAATGGCTTTGGGGCAGGATCTGCATTCCAAGGAGTCATTCAGGGACTCAAGCTCCCTCCAGTATACGATGCCACCAGCTTCTCCACATGCCCCTAAGGTCATCATCAAAAGGGAATAAAGCACATGGAGGACGGGGCTGGGGATGTCAGTGCTCTTGGAGTGGCATTTATTGATTTCATTGGGAAAACCCAGTCAAACTGACCAAAAAGAGTGGGAAAATTCAGTTTTCCTGTAGAGCTAAGGGCAAAAAGATGTGCTTTGCTAAATATACAATAGCATCTCCTCTGCACAAACAGGCACACAGATTCTGTAATGACTATTCCCCTTTCCTCACGAGGAGGCAAATCGTCACGGCTGGCTTTATTAAACATTTACCCTGGGCTGGGTGTTGCGCTCACTACTTGACATACTCCATCCAGGCGAGTCCCCTGAGCGATCCTAGGAAGAGAGTTTCATTATGATTCCCCCCTCAGTCTTTCCGGAAGTGCAAGCAAAGGCACAGTGTGGTTAGGGAACTTATTTCAGGGTTGCTCAGCCAAGTCATATGCAGGCTCAAGATCTGAATCCGGCTTCTTCTAAGACAGACGTGAAAAGAGCTTAATGGTCAGGTGGGTCACAGAGAGGCTTGGCAAGCTGTAGCTTCTCACATCATCAGCGTATATAAATGGAGAAGACGGTGGGACCCTCATGCTGTAATCAGCAGGTTTCTGCTTCTCGGGACATCGCCCCTGAGACAGCGGTGGAGGGGAGCGGGAGCGAGGCAGTGCCTGGCTGAGGACACAGCTGTGTAGGAAGCCATGGAGCTCCGGGAGGCACAGCCCCTGCCCCCTGACACACCCCAGCACCCAGTCAGTGTATTTCCTTAGCCCTGGGCCCCAAGGCTCAGATTTCATTCTAATACTGAAGAGCCAGCCGGAAGCATGGAACTGGTGAAATCCATTACAGCCCAGAGTAATTGAGTAAACCACTCAGTTTAGGTATAAACTGATGGAATTGCCAGGCCCCGGCAATTCTCCTTCCCCTAGCAGAAATCTCAGTGCTGTGTGGCCAGATTAGATATCCTCACTAGTACTCACAGCTTCATTTCTGTCTCTCTGGCTTTCTGCTGCAATGGGCTTCCCAGGAGAGGCTCAGATGGCCAGATGCAGAAGAATGCAACTGTCCATGAGGCAAAACCCCCAACTTCCATGCATCTTCCATGCATCTGGATGGCATCTTGGACTCACTTGGAATAGCTCCTTTGTATCTCCGGCCTCATGAAAAACAGAAGGAAATTTCTCTTTTACTCTTACTGCTTTACAGTTAAGATTCTTGCCTCAAGGGTTGCTGAAGAAGCCAGGAGAGGCCCAATCACCTCTGGTGGTGAGTGATTCCGCTTTAAACAGTGCCAGCAAAAAGGGCATGGCTGAATGTTGCCCCTGTCACCAGCCCTGGTACGGCTGGGCCAGGTGATAACATCTGGCCTCACAAGGACACTCAGGACTTGTCTCAAGAGGCCTAGATGAAATGGATGTGAAAGCCTTCCCACTCTGAAGTGCTATAAAATGGCAGGTGCTAATCACATCAAAGTGATGACCGCAGTGCCTTCTTTCTGGTTTCTTTGTGTAATTTGCCTACTGTGTGTAGTAGTGATCCTAGCAATCTGGGAGCCTGAGGCAAAAGGATCACAAATTCAAGCTCAGCCTTGGGATCTTAGCAACTTAGTGAGACCCTGTCTCCAAATAAAAACTAAAATGGACCTGGGTACTCAGCACACACACACAAATCTCCAGTGTCACTTTGTTCGTGTGGGTGTCAGTCTTCCCAGCTCTTTGGGAGGGAATTTTTAGGACAATCTAGGAGAAGCAAGTCACAGGTCTTGGGGGGAGTCCCGCCCAGTCAAAGGGCTTTAAGAGGGCTATTCCACTCATTGCCCTGGCTGGTACTCCAGAGAGGAGGAAGTACAGAGGCACTGACTGCAATAAGAAAACCTGGGATGGACAGGGAAGACTAGGTTTGCATATTGATTTGTCCACTCATGACCTGTGAGACTTGCACAAGAATCACCCCTCGGAGCAAAATATGAAATATGAGGGTTTCTCAAACAGTGATTGTATATTATCAAGTTGGATACAAATAAAATGGTTTTATGGCAGAATGTTTAGTCAGTGATGTCCCAAAGTCAAATAATGTATCAGTGACCAAACTAGGCTACCATGAAGTGAGTCTAGAGTTCTAAGGAAGAATTACTGACTATCCAGTCCCCTCAAACCCCAGAAGTCTATATACCCAAGGAAATCAATCACTTTACAAGGAATGGCAACTGCACTTAATAACTCAGTAGAAAGTTTGGTATTCAAGGTAGCAAATGTTTTGAGGGCTGAGGAGACGCATTAATTACACTTAATCCCATCAACTAGACGAATAGGTCAAGTCCTTAGATACACACAACACTCAAAAGCCCATTCCACCTCTCCACTTGGCATCACTGAAAAGTGACAGTAGACACATAGGGTCTTTGTAATCAACCCATAACAAATGTCCACAAGAATGGACATCTGTTTTCCACTTTTGTTAGATTTCCAGGGGAAATCTGGCACAAAAGATTTCTTATCTGGCGGGGCTCATTAGCTGAGTGGGCAGCAGGAATACAAGGGGCTACAACAATCCCCTCCATGTTGGCCCCCAGTGCTCCTTGTCAGCTTTTGCATTGTTTTCCCGTAGCATCTGTATACTGTAAAGGTAACTTGGCTTCCAATGAATTCTTGGTCATAAGTAATTGCCAATTTATTTTGGTGGCATTTTTAGCATTTAGCCAATTTAGAAATCCTGAAATCATAAAATATGGTTGTTAAATTCTTTGACTCCTGGAAAAGGAAACAAAGGTACCTTATAAATACCATCTGCCTACGCTTTTGCAGCCTGAGGATTCTGAGACTCAGCTGTATGAGGGCTCTGTTATCATCCTTCGCTTCTATTTTTTAAAGGGGGAAGAACAGACGGCGTCATCTGTGAGTCACCTGACACGTGGAAGGGAAAGGATCTCCTTAAAATCCCCCATGAGCTGTACCAGCCCTGCCCTCCTCCTCCTCCTCCAGAGTTGGTGTCTTCCCAGGCTGGGCAGCACGAATCTGAACATGGGAAGGTCCCCAAGCTTCCTGAGGATCACAGCTTGGGCCAGCAGCAAGTCTCCGGGTGTGAGGTCAAACCCAAACCAAGGCCTGCCAACCTGCGCCACGCCATGGCCACTGTGGTCATCACCGGGGTGGTGTGTGGGATTGTGTGTCTCATGATGCTGGTGGCTGCCATCTACGGCTGCACCTATGCAGCCATCACAGCACAGGGCCATGGACGACCCTCAGCTCAAACCAGTGAGTCTGGGAAGGCAGAAGGAAAAGAGCCGTTTGACAGCTTGCCAGCCTGAGAGCGTTCATCTCAGAGAGGACTGAGCATCACAGGTTGAGAGAGAGGTCTGAGTATTACTTGTTATTGTCTCCTTTTGCTTTTTTCAAAAGGTTAAAAAAAAAGTGTCTTTAAAAAGATGTTCCTGGGAAGAGACATATGTAGAAATTTTTTAAATACCACAGATTAAATAGAGATGATACTTGTACCCTGGCCCAAGAAGTTATGACTATGATTCCATGTGGGAGATGCCGTACACAGAGAAAGGGAAGATACCATCTCCTGCAGGTATCCTTCCTGGGATTAAGTTGCTTTGCAGAGGAAGAAGAATTCCAACAGGCAAGCCAATCCGCATTCCTGGGAGCTTTAGGAGCCCCTGGAAAACTGCCCAAGTTTGAGTGCCTAGAAGAGGCTGGTGATCTCCCCCGAGGGACACTGAATGCCTCTATAATTCAAGTTCATGCTAGATCGTTGATACTTTTAGATGTTGTGTATGTTATATATTTAATGGGAGCATCTGTTAGTGGGAAATTTTGTAGCTTGCCACAAGAGTCAGATTATATTTAATTTTCTAAATCAGAAAACCATTTGGGGCTTTCTAGGCCACAGAGGAAGAGCAGGGTTCCATGTCTGGATAATGCAACTCAGGCCCGGAGTCTGGGGAAGCTTTCTGATGGAAAGGTAAAGAAATTTTAAGCAAACACAAAGAGGATGAGGAGCCAGAATTCGAGGCAGATATTACCAAAAGCCATATCCACCAAGAGATTGGAACCTTCCACTATAACACTCACAGCAGGAGTGAATTTAGGTTAGGCTGAAAGCGAGGTAATGGCTTTTGTGTATCTGCATCTACTTATACAGTGCACAGCACGCACAACCTTGTACAACCACACCCACACATAAACAAGCTTGGAGCAATCAGTTTGCCCGCTAATGAAATGCAGCCCTGCTAGGGCAGGAGCCAGCAACTGCTGATCACCACCCAGATTGTCTACTCAACACTCAGGGATAGGAAGTGAGAAGGAAGTCTGAGGAGAGTGAGAATTACCAAGAGACTTGAGATATGTGGTGGCAGGCTTCCTGAATGTTATTTAGGCCACGGGTTTAAAAAATCAGGTGTGGATTGCTTAGTCCACAAACGTGGCCCTGAAGAGTTGCATGCAAAGTGAATTTTTGTAAATTGAATCATCATTTTAATGCAGTAGGGGAGCTCGCTATTTAAAGGAACCTTTCATGGAATCTTTCTGTAATGGAAATAATTGGCTCCAGATTTACACGTCTTGTAAATTTGCATTTTCTCATGCTAGGTTTTCTTAAAGTGGAATTTACCTGTTCTCTCTCGGCTCATATTTACAGTTATTTCTTAGGATTCAAATTATTTTACACAGGAAGAGAGGACGGAGGCATTAAGGACATGTTAAAAGTATAAAATGGCAAGTATAGGGAGAGCTGTCCTGCCAGAGCTACGACAGACATCACTAATCAATCCCAGCTCTCCTCCCAGCTGGGCCCCAATGCACCACAGATGGTTTCTTAAGACACCACTGTAGGCAACCAGAACTAATCAATTGGAATTGGTTCAAAGGATAAAGCACACTTGCCATTCAGGATACTGGCTCTACATTCACTCCTCGAGGCCATGTAAAAATTGGTTTGGATCCTAAATCAGTAGTGCATTCCCTATCCTAGCCGGAATGTGAATGGAAGGTTTGCATGTGTATGGTATAGACAGATGTAGCCCTAGCCTTGGCCAATAGTGTAATCAAGCCACAGGGAAATGGATGAACTCCCACCCCCTACTGCGCAGGACTCACACCAGTGCATCTCTAACTATCACAGAGGCAGTCTGAACCTGCCCACAGTGAGCCCTGGACATGGGCTATCTTCTGGGAGCAGCAATTTTGCTGAATGATTTTTCTTGGGGAAAAGTGCAAACTTGTATGGTTTTTTCTGAATATTACAACAAACCTGAATACATTAAGGAATAGATTTTTAAAGGACCTCAGGGAAGGCCTGCTATTGCATGGGTGGCCCCTCTCCATTCTGCCACATGGGCCACTTGAATTGGCAAGGCTCAGAATCCCGTTCTAAGGACATAGCAGACAAATCCTCTCTTTCCATTGTCCGGGACTAGGAATCCTTGGAGAAAACCTCAATATGAGAAAGGAACTTTAGAATATCTTTTTATTCTTCATCTTGATTTGACCAAATGCTCTCAGTGCTCATGCTCCACAGCAGGCATGCTGCAAGGCACTTGCATGAGCACTCTGTGTGATCCTGATGCCCACTCCTCAAACTAATTCAACAGACGTCACATAGCTGGGAGCTACTGAAGCAAAGAAGGTATGCTTCCTCCAACTGCAGCAACTTAACACTGTGAGCACACTGTACTCTGCCAAAGATTTGGTGACACTGCAGGTCACCCCTGTCCCCTGCCCACAGAGATTACATGAAAAAATTCCCAGTATCCCACAGAAACCCCTGAACATAGCTAGAATCCTCACTTGTCAACACCCATATCCTATTAGATTCCTCAGGGCAGATGATAACCCAGGCAAACAGACTTCCAGCTTTATGGATAGTTTTTAAGGAAAATGATTACAACGATGCATTTGTACATCAGATTTCTATCTGTTGCCTACAGTCACCACAAACAGCAGTTGGCAATGAAAATAATTATGTACTCTGAAATGTCAACAGCTTCTCAGCACAGAAAAATATAAATCAAATTGTTTAGATTAACAAATGTAGAGTTATCATTTGTTAATATGAGAAATGAAATGTTTTAACTGTAGAAAAACCCTGCAGATGAAAGACCCAATTTGGAGTGTATTCTACAAGAACCACAAATTATCTCTCACAGCCACGACAGCTCATGAGGGGTAATTTGCAAACGCCTCATAGATTATTTTCAGCTGTTTATTGCCACTGTCATATTCATAGATTCCCTTATAAAAATATCCTTCCATCCTAGAACCATGCCAAAGGTACACTAAAGACAAAAATAACAGTTACTGTTTATTATTTCCGAGAAAATCCTCTAAAATATCATTTTGCATCATATTTAGTAGAAGTGAATGACTACAGACAGTTGATTTTTCTTCACCAGAGATCACAAATTCACGAACAGATGCCATAGTTGTCTGCAGTGAACTATATGAGGAAGGGCCAGGAGGAATATGCACTGCTACAGGGATTTTGGAGTAAAAAGATCTAGCACCAAACCTATGTCTGACAAACATTTACCATTAAAGGAGATATCTCTGTCCCTGCAGGAAGATCCTTGGGCTTAGAATTATAAAATGTTAGTGAAATAATTGTCTTATTTTTCCTTATAAAAATGGAAGAGTGAAAAGTTATTCACAGATAGGTTTCTTCTTGAAAGTGCATGAAAATGAAATCTTATTACTCAAGTTAAGCAGGTAATGCTGAAAAAAAGACACCATTGTCTGAGATCTCAAATATTAAAAGAAGTGGCTAAATCAATTTCCAAAATAATCTCTCTGCAGCAGATATTCATATAATTATAATAATGGCTGTTAGAAACCTATAAATTTCTATTTCAGGTCAGGAAATTACTCTTTACAGTTTGGTAAAACCCATTAGTGTATCCATTGCTAAATGCTATTGACAGAGACTTACCAGAAAATGGTACTCCAAACCTATTTGGCATTTCTGAGCTGGGGTTTATATGCACAAATTCAGGGAACCATCTTGTTTTTCCTTTTGATGAAAATGCTTTATTTTTTAATGCTCAAATTGCAATGAAGTGTCAAAGAAACCCTCATCCCATTCAGAGAAGCAATTTCATAAGCTACCACCTTTTTTTAGATTTTTCACTGGACTCTACATACTAACTTTCACTCCAATGATGCTAAATATTCTTTTGGATGGGTGGGATGTCACCTAGCCATGAAGGCCCATCAAAAACACCCAGAAAAAGGATGAAAGAATTTGGAAGCCAGGAAGAGCTTTGAAGAGAAGTTTTTCTAGGCCTGGAAAATTTCAGAATAGCTGCCACAACCTTCCTATCCACTGCAGACACTGCTAACACATCACAGCAAACTTATCGGCTGAACACAAATGAAGCCTCAGAATCCTTTTAAGTCTGTTTTCCAGGTACCCACAACTGATCAACTGGAGTTGACGCAAGAGATTAAACCTATTTGCTCCCCTGAAATAGTTCAGTGCCCTTATTTTACAGATAGGAAATGGAAGCATAAAAAAGGAAAGCAACTTTCCAAAAGTCACACACATAATTAATTGCATGCTTGATAAACGCAGTGGCAGATGCATGAGATAAGCATGAATAATCCAGTCTTACCCCCAACATCCTTTGTTCATTCTGTGATGAACCAAAATATCTAGACTATGACATAATTACACTAATTATTAGGATAATGACAATTATAGCACTACCATCAACATTTGTTGAACATCCAACTTTGTGCCAGAAATTTTCCAAGCATACTAATTCTTTTTTATAAACCTTATATTGACCAAAGCATGTAGGCATTTTACTGCCATGTTACAGATGAAAGGACATTACCACAAGGCTGCTCGTTTGCCCAAGGTCAAGCCACTAGTAAATGGTGGAAGAGGACTTTTGATGCAGGTCTGCCCAAGGCCAAACCCTGAGGACTTTTGAAGATCTGATGGATTTGAAGAAGTCAGAGCCCTTTGCTGGCACTGCTCAACATTTATTTTAAAACATGGCAGAGAAAAGGAATCCCACTGCCAACTAACGCGTCACTGCCAGTGCTCCTGACCCACCAGAAACAAGGCAGCTGAAGGCACTAAGGCAAAATGGGAAAGCGGAGGTCCTTCCATCACTCATGACCCTGCTAAGCTGGAAAAGACATTCCTAGAATGGGAGGGAAAGAAACTCAGCCCAGCTATCTTGCATTAATTGAAAAAAAAGGCGCAATTAGACTCCACATTAAAATTCTAGCTCATATAGTAGGTAGGATTTCTCACTAAAATGCTCTTTAAAATGAAGGAAAAAGTTATGAGAGCCCTGGAAATTAGGAAGACTACTCAGTGATATCCAACTCTCAAGAAGAACTTCCACCATCAAAGCAGAGGTCTGACCTTGACACAAACGAAGAGGGGGTCAAAGAAAAGGGTAGAGGTCGACAATACTGTTCCCTACGCTCTTTTTCTTTCTTCTGAGACACTGGCTTTGAAAAATCAGGGAAACTACCACCTGCTCTGTGTAGGACATATGAGGACATTTAACTTCAACAACACCTCTCATTAAGACC